TAAGATCTTGGCCACACACATCTTTGCTTGCTTTTACATGACATAGAGCTTTAGCATCACTTTTAAGTGACCCATAGCTTCAAACACCAGACATGGTGAAAAGAATATAGATGCATGAAACTACAAAGCTACTCTTAAGGCTCTAAGATTCATATATGGTTGGTTCACTCAAAATATTGAGAACTAAAAACTAACTAGAATATGCTTAAGCCAACTAAATGTTGTCAGCAAGTTAGATTTTATATAAACAACTGGGCAAAGCTATGCAAGCGAGGCTAAGAAGGTTAATGCAATTTTCAGATATTGAAGGGACTTTGCAACATAAACACATAGTGATTGGTTTAAGTGTAAAGTTGTGTTTGACCTATATTTTATACAAGAAAATGGAGGACATGGCATATACTAATTGATCGATAAACTTTGGATCCTCATTGACAAGTAAGGAGGCTTTCACTTTAAGAAACTAAGCTAGCCAATAAGATTGATAGATAAGTCATGTGCAGCATAAAAAATTAATAAGCTAGTTATATGCAACTTTAGAAAATCAACAGGCCAATAAATAACCCTAATATACAAGTTTTGGTATAGTTTCAGTGAGAGTCATAATTCTTGGAACGACCAAAACTCGAGTTAAAAATAGAGCAATTGTTCAGCAAGCAAATATTCTAAAAATATAAACTAATACACCTTAAGTTTTTAAACATAAAGACATAGATATAAGAACTAAGAGTTCCAAAAATAACAAAATAAGAGAAAAATATTATCAACAATTAGAAAACACAAAAATAGTGTAACCCAAAAGTATTCCCAAAGATATATGTTCTTTTATGCAGGTTTAATGAAAGGTCTAGAAAGCTAAGCATTCAGAAAAGGAAGGATGTCTTGAGAAAGCTCTACATGAGGCTCTCAAACACAAATGATGCTTCAAAAAACTAGAGAGATATATGAAGTAACATAATAAAAGCTTAAAAGATGGAAATAACATAGATTCTGCAAGCCTCCATGGAAAGCGTGAACAATAAAGATAGTTCTCAATTTGTCAAACTATTTGTCAAAGGGTAAATAAGGAGAAGAAATGATGGAAGATCCTAAGCAATAGAAAGCTTTGCAACCATTAGCATTCCAAAGACCTATGTAGTCAAAGAATGTAGATTAAGAAATTATAGCAGAAGAATTAATGATGCACATCTTTCTAAAAAACCATGCAAGAGAATTGAAGTGAATGGCATGAAAAAGGTTTAAATTACGCAGCTTTAAGAGAAACAATGTGTGACTCAATCAACAAAGAATTGAATTAAAGTAAAACATCCCAAGATATGAAGAAAGAACATCAGCCTCAACAAATGGAGAAATCTTGAAGATCTACATTAATCATGGACAAGAATTGAAACGTTTGCTCAACACTGAATTTTGAAGATAATAAAGATGTAAAGGCAAGTTGTAGAAATGTTGATAGATGAAGGAATTGTAAAACTTATGTGAAATGCAAAAGGTTTATAAAACACTTGATTCTCATAGGATTTTTCATCAAAGCTACGTCAAATGCTTTGAGTATGGAGGAAAACCTATGCTATACTCTTTTTACTTTAAGTTAGATTTTTTATCCCACAAGGTTTTACTAGCTAATTAAGATTTTAATGAGGTAGTCACAGTTGGAAACAAAACCTTTGTCATGAAGGTTTAGAATCTCTAAAACATAGAGACTAAAAGCAACTCCATCACCACTTATGAAAGTGAAGGGCTTTGCACAAAGTTTTGCTCAAAAAACCTATGCAAAACTTAAAACCAAATAGAACTGTAATTACGCCAAACCAAAAGTCCTTCTTCAATCCACGTCTAGATGAACCTACAAAACCCCAAGGTGGGTCCTCGGGGTAGACACTCTGATGCTTAAGTCAGCAATAATCAGATCTACCTATTTAGAGTAATGAAAAAGGAACTTTAGGTTGATTTCAATTACCTTTCTGAGGTGGCCCTCGGGGGGTATTTATAAGCCTTAGTGAGGTGTTCACGTGGCTTGCTTAATAAGATAATCAGAGTGTGAGGTGTTCCTTCAGGTGATAATTTCGGGATCGGGAAATTATGTAAATTAGGTATGAGCATGTTCACTATATTTATCATGCAATCATTTAACCAAGAAGTGTTAGATTTAACTTCACTTCAGTTATTAAGGAAATGTAGCAGTACATCCAAGATTGAGGACCTCAGACCTGTCCTTACACTATTCCCCCTTCGAAGTCATTCACTTATGAATGATGTTGTGAAAGGTGGTAGGAGTAGTGTAAAATTAGGTGAAAAGAGGAATGAAAGAATATTAGAGTTGAGTTACTAGAGTCAAAATTAAAATAAAAAGTGGTAACTCAAGTTCATGTATGGCCATAACTAAAGTAAAATATGTGACACAGGGTCACTGTGGCCATATCCGAAATAAAATGCGACACATGATCACAATGGTCAGAGTTGAAGTAAAACATGTGACACAAAATCATTATGGCCGCAGCCGAACTAAAATATGTGACACAGGGTCACTCTGGCAAGAGTCGAAGTAAAATACGTGACACGGCGTCACTAAGGCCGGAGCCGAAGTAAAATACGTGACACGAGGTCACTATGGTCGGAGCCAAAGTAAAATACATGACATGAGGTCACTAGGGTCGGAGCTGAAGTAAAATACGTGACATGGGGTCACTAGGGCCGGAGCCGAAGTAAAATACGTGACACGGGATCACTAGGGTCGGAGCCGAGGTAACAAATGATGACCAGCGTCATTGTGGCCGTAGCCGAGGTGAAACACTTGTAAAGTTGAAAAATGTTATTGTGAAAGTGAACAAAAGTACTGGGTTGGGCTTAATTGGGCCCGTTAAAAAAGTCTGATATAGGGTTAGTACGTGGCATGATAGCTGTCTGTTGAAAGACATGTACAATAGATACGAGCTATAAAAAAGTAATTGCTATAGTTAAATAAATGGAATGGAAAACGAACCGTCGAATTCGAGAGATTCCCATTAGGGATTAACCGTCGAATTCGAAACGGTGTGATCGTGACTGTCAGATGAAATTAATCAAAGCCGTTGAGGCGTATATTTTCTTTGGTATATATAGCTATACTTCTGTAAAAAGAGTTTTACTTTCTCCGTATTTACTACAAAAGTGCTGCTAAAATCTCTACAGTGTTTGTGTGAGCGATTTGTGTGTTACATTTTTGACTTCGAGCTCATTCTACATTATCAAAATCGAGTAACTTATGAATTTTTGTGATTCAAGTTCTAGTGGTGAATTTTATTCTCCTCTCACCCTTTCTGATTTAGGTTTAAGCCCTCTTAAGGAGGTTAGGGTTAGGAGTGAGAGTGATATTGAGCATGAGTTAGAGTTTTTTGAAGATCCTGATTACATCCCTCACCTTACTCCATGCAGTGAAAGTTACGAGACTGACGAGATGTCTTCTAGGGAAACATTGAGCAATGGGGGGAGCGAGGAAGTAAAAATGTTGGAGTACAATGACGTAAGTGTGGAGGGTGGGTCGTTTGGGTCTAAGCGAACAAAGGAAGGGTGAAATGAAATAGTTGAGGTGGGGCAGAAAGGGTTCTTGCAAATATATTGGAAGTGGGAGATAGGAATAATAAGTTTTATGATAGTGGGGCAGACATTGTGTCTGAGGTAAAGGAGTTTGAGTTTGAACTCAGGAGTAGGGATAGCCTGAGTTATCTTGTAGAAACTTATGAGATTTCTTCTCGGGTTCTGGTTAGGCCTGCTGAAGTGGAGGAAAGGGCATACTCTGCACCCCAGGATCACTAGATGCCAGTGTATGCCCATTATTTGGTAGCAGTGCTAAGGTTTTCATTACCATATTTGCTAGTGTGGTTGTTGTTGGAGTATAGTGTGGGTTTGACCCAATTATCTCCCAAAGTAGTAAGGGTAATAATCGGGTTTATAGTGTACTGTCGAGCTAGGGGGTTAGGGTACCTACAATGAGTATGTTTAAGTACTTTTTTGTGCTTAAGGCTAGGAGTATGAAGGAGAAGGGGTGGTGCTATTTTACACCCTAGTCATCCAACAAAGAAAAGAGGAACCTGTTTAGTGCAGGACCTTCATCCATTAAAGGATGAAAGGAAAAACTTTTCTTTGTTGATGATACCAAGTGGGAGAGGGGAGATGGAGGGGTAGAATTTTTGTCTACCTAGAAGGCTAAAAAGGCCAACCAGAATAAGTATAGTTTAAATAGCGATAAGGAAGAAGAAGTGGAAAAGCTGGTGAAAAAAGAGGGTGATATAGTAGACATTATGTTTCTCACCAGCTTAGATGTTATAGAAGCAGCTGAGCTCTATGGGCTAAGCTTTATGGGCTGAGCTCAATGAGCGAAGGTGTGTTTGTACCTTGTGTTATGTAAGAGTTGAGTTCTGATATTTGGTTTTTAATATAATTGTTATTTTGCAGCTAAGATGGACAAATTTTTGGGTGCTGCTACTGGGGTGGCTATCCCCAAGAAGCCAAGGAAGAAGTCAAAGACTTCTGAGAATGCTGTGAGTGAGAAAGGAGATGGGAATAAGGAGAAAGGACAGATGTCAAGTATAGAAGTCCGAGCTGCAAAGGCGAAGGAGTTGAGGTCTAAATGAAAAAGGGATGAAGTGGATCAAGCCCAAAAGAAGAAGAGGAGGGTGGTGTATGAGGTCAGGGGGGACAAGGTAGTGGAGTTTGTACCTCAGCCGGCTCCTGTTGAGCTTGATTCTGATCTCAGAGAGATTGAGGTTCCCACCCATGGCAAGGGCAAAGTAGTTGTTCCCACTCCTTCTTTCCAGAGTAGCATTTTTGGGAACAAAATTTTTTAGCGGTGAAAAATTTCATCAACGCGTATGTTCCTAAGGTAGATCATCGTCAAGCTAAGGATGAAGTGTTGGTGCATGGAGGGACCTCAGTTGTGAGGCATGCTTTTGAGGTAAGCTTAGTGATGATAATTGTTGTTTGCTGTGCTTGTTTTGTTTTGTTTTTTTTTTTTTTTGATTGTTTTGTGTTGATGTGGCAGACTGCAACTTGGGTCAATGTGCTAGCCCAAGAGTTCATGGACCTCGTTAAGGAGTGTAACAGCCTGCAGAAGGAAAGAGATGAGCTACAGAAGAAGAATGGGGAAATGAAGAGGGAGCTGGATGTAGTGGTACCAGTAGTGACGAGCTTGCAAGATGAGAAAGACTTGCTGAAGACGATTCTTTCATTCGAAGAGCGAAAAAGAAAGATGTGTGAAGAAGAGAATGAAGCACAAAAGGAAGAGATAAAAAGAATGAGAGAATCTGAGGCCGAGCTCAAAAAGAATGTTCAACTGTTGGTGCATAACGAGATGGAGGAGCATATCACCAATTTCATCAACTCCAGCTCGTTTGACAACATTGTCTATCTATACCGGCTACCTACTGCAATCCTCGCCTTCACCGATTGTAGGAAGAAGGTGAAAGCTGAGTATCCCGAAGTGGATATAACAAAGATCACCTTCAACAAACAAGAGGAAGGGGTGGAGGAGAACGGTGAAAGTATGTTAACGGACTTCTACCCTTAGATTAAACTGAGGTGGGATCACGATGAAGAAGGACACACTGTTTTTCCTCCGAACTTCGGCTTTGAGTTCATAGCAATGGAAAAAGAGGAAGTAAAGGTAGAAGGTGCTGAAGTTGAGGAGAGCCAACCACCTCTACAAGTGAAGGTCCATCCAGTTCCCTCTGATGAAGAACAGCCACCTCTTCTAGCAGGTCAAAAGCCACCTCAGCCACCTCCTCCAACGGAGTAGTTAGGGATTTTAATTTTTTTTGATTTATGTAGTTGGAATGTGAACAATGATTAATTTAAACATTTTTGTAGCATTTGTTGATTAATCTAAGGAAAATTTTTGAAATTAGTTTTAATACTTGTTTTGTGTTTTAATTGTTTTGTATTAACATAAGAATAGAGATGAAGTAATTCACTTCAATATGAAGTGAAATTTATTAATAAAAGGAAATCCAAGGAATAAATTCTAAACGGATTGACCTCGGAGATACAAACTAATAGATGAAATGGATCTCAAAATGAAGAAGAAATAATTATAAAGAAGAATAAGACAAAGATCACTTGAAAGAAGTTTATTAAGGGTAAAATTTCTTCAAGTTATTGATATTCCATACTCTAGGAACTCTCTTCCCTTCAACGTCTTGGAGGATATAGGCGCCAGGATGTGGCACTTCGGCCACTATGTAAGGGCCTTCCTAGTTCGGGGCTAGTTTACCAAAACAAGTTTCAAACCCTGTTAGACCAGCTTTTCTGAGAACAAGGTCTCCCACTTTGAATGTTTGAGGGCGGACTCGTTTGTTGTAAAAGTTGGCTAATTTCTACTTGTAGACTAGAGTTCGAAGTCATGCTTTTTCTCTGACTTCGGTAAGCAGATCAAGGTTCTCCCGAAGCAATTGTCCATTTCATCCTCCATCGAAATGGGTGACCCAAAAGCTTGGGACTCCTGTTTCAATAGGGATGACTGCTTTGGTACCAAAGGCCAAGTGGTAGGATGTTTCTCCTATTTCATTAAGTTGTAATTTTTAGAATATGCTTTATATGTTGTGCATATTTGATCTAGGGTAAAGCCGTAGATGAGAAAATAAAATAGAATGAAAGTAACTTGGGTTAGAAATAGTACCTGTGGCAGTTCAGCTCATAGTTCTATATGCCCAGAGGACGTTGTTGAGCTCGTATGCCCATCTGGCCTTGTGCTGCTCCAACCTCAGCTTTATTCCCTCGAGGATAGCTTTATTGACAGATTCGACCATACCATTTGGCTTCAGATGGTATGCTGAGGTAAATTGTAGTTTGATCCCGTAACTAGAGTAGAAATCTCTGAATGAAGAGCAGTTAAACTGAGTATCGTTATTAGCTACGATCTGATTCGAGATTCCATATCTTCAGATGATCGAGTTAAAAACAAAGTCTTCGACCTTTCTAGAAGTAAAACTGGATAATGGTCAGGCTTCAACCCATTTCGTAAAATAGTCCACACCAACGATCAGATGGGTTACACCTCCAACCCCTTTTATGAATGGGCCTAAAAGATCTAGTCCCCATCGAGCAAATGACCACGGTGCCACAAAGTTGGTGAGCTCTTCTGCCAGTTGGTGAGTTAAATGTGCGAAGAATTGGCACTTTGGACATCTCTGTACAAAGTGAGTAACATCCTTATACATATTCGGCTAGTAATATCCTTGTCTGAGGACTTTGTGAGCCAAGGTTCTAGCACCAATGTGGCTTCAACACACACCTTCATACACCTCCCGAAGTACGTACTCAACTTCATAAGGATTCAATCATTGTAGGAAAAGGAGTGAGAAAGATCTCTTATAGAGGACCCCATCCACGAGTGTGTATCGAGACGCTTTCTTCCTCAACCTCATCTCTTCTTGCTTATCTTCAGGTACTAACCCGTCTTGTAAAAAAGAGACAATTGGATCTGTCTAGTTCAGTGTATTCAGGTCTGTGCTGATCTCCATCATTCTTAGCTTCATGAAGCTCGGTTCATCTAAAACTTCAACAAAAACTGATATGGAGCTTAAGGAGCTACCAGAGGCGAACTTAGAAAGTGAATCTGCCTGCTCATTCTCAGTTCGGGGAATTTTGTTCAAACAAAATTTCTAGAACTTGCACTTCAGCTCGGCCACCAAGGTTACATACTTCATCATGATAGGATCAACAACCTCCCGACTAAGTTGACTTGATTAACCACAAGTTGTGAGTTACTATAAACTCTTATGGCCATGACTTTCAGCTCTAATGCTAGTTGCAAACCAAGTAGCAAACCAAGTAGCAAAGCTTCATACTCGGCCAAGTTATTAGTTGCATCGAAGTTAAATTTCAAAGCATGCTCACTTTGATATCCATTTCGACCAATTAAGAAAGCACCAGCTTCTGAGCCCTTGCTATTAGACTCTCCATCAACATATAAAGTCCAGTTGCTCGGCTCAGGGTTAAAGCTTGGGTGACATAGGGTGCATTCCACGATAAAATCTGCTAGTGCTTGAGCTCGAATTGCAAACCTTTGTTGAAATGTTATCTCAAATTCCCCCAGTTTTACTGCCCATTTAATTAACCTTCCCTAGCACTCCAGCTTTTGAAGGATTTGTCGAAAAGGTTGGTCCGTGAAGACTATGATTGGATGCGATTGGAAATATGGCCTCGATTTTCTGGCCGAAGTAACAACTGCCAGCGTTGCTTTCTTAGTAATAGGGTATCTCAACTCTACTCCGTGTAGCACGCTGCTAGTATAATAAATTGGTTTCTGCTGTTTGCCTTCTTCTCTCACTAGCACTGAACTGATTGCTTCATCAAAAATATCGAGATACAAATAAAGGATTTCTCCATCTATAGCTTTTGTTAGTAGAGGAAATGAGCTAAGATAAGATTTCAGCTCATCGAATGCAGCTTGGCATTCTAAGTTCCATTCAAACTTCTTCTGTTTGCCAAATTCATCTTTTTGTGCTGCTGACCTCATGATCTTAAAGAATGGTAGGCACTTATCTACTGGCTTCGATATGAATCTATGAAGAGCTGCCACCTTTTCAGTTAATCTCTGTATATCTTTCACCAACTTCAGCAGTTCCATCTTGACTATTGCTTTGATCTTTTTTGGGTTAACTTTTATCCCCCTCCGGGAAACCATGAAGCCCAAAAATTTCCCAGACTCCACACCAAAGATGCATTTTGCTGGATTTAACCGCATTCTGTTCTTTCTGAGGTTGTTGAATGTTTCATCAAGATCAGCTAGATGATATTTTACTTTCAGGCTCTTTACCACAATGTCATCAACATAAACCTCCAGATTCTTGCCGATCTAAGCTCGAAAGACGATGGTCACCATTTTCTGATAAGTGGCACCTACGTTCTTTAAGCCAAAGGGCATCATGACATAGCAGTAAATTTCATCACCTGCATAGAACGAGGTTTTCTCTTCATCCTCCAAGGCCATCGGCACTTGGTGGTAACCTGAATATGCATCCAAGAGACTTAATCTCTTATTTTCAGAAGTCACTTCAACCAGTTTATCAATACTTGGCATTGGATAACAGTCTTTGGGACAAACTTGGTTGAGATTTGTGTAATCAATACACATTCGCCATTTACCATTTGCCTTTTTGACCAACATCGGGTTAGCCACCCATTCACAATAATCAACTTTTCTGACGAAGCCAGCTTGTCGAAGTTTCTCTACTTCTTCTTTTATAACCTGAAGCCTCTCCCCCCCAAAGAGACATCGCTTCTAGGCTATTGGTTTCTTTAATGGATTGATGCTGAGCTTGTGCTGAGATACCAAGGTTGGAATTCCTGGCATGTCTGCTGAGGTCCAAGCGAAAACATCTTTGTTAGCTCTGAGGAAAGCTATTAGCTTTGCTCTCTCTTTTGGGTTTAACTAAGTTCCAATTTGTGTCTTCCTGTTTTGATCTCTGTCATCAATTTGCACTTCCTCTACATCCTCAACTAGGGTAGCTCTAGTTTCATCTTCTGGTCGGTTGTCTACTATCTCAACTCCCATTACTTGCTAATTATCATGAACTTGTTCGGGAATGGTTTCTATTGTTTGATCTTTGCCTTTCTGAGGCCTTGTAACCGAGGTAATATAGCAATGTCTAGCCACCTCCTAGTTACCTCGTAGTATTGTTATTCCCATGGGGGTTGGGAACTTCATGCAGAGGTGAGATTGAGAGACCACAGCTCGGATCTCGGTTAATGTTGGTCATCCGATAACAGCATTGAAGGAGGATGCCATTTTGACAACTAGAAACCAAACTGAAGGGGTAACATAAGTTCGACCGCTTCCAAAAGCAACATTGAGAGTAAGAACTCCTTCTACCTGAACAGGTTGGTTATTGAATCCATATATGGGGCCATCGTACCTATGCAACAAAGTTGGATCGAGTCCTAGACTTTCAAAACAATGAAAGTATATAATGTCTGGTGCATTCCCTGTGTCAATAAGGACACGTTGTACCTCACAGTTGTTAATCATAACGGAAGTGACCAAAGGATCATTATGAGGTGTGACGACTGTATCGAAATCAGCAAGTATGAAAGTGATGGGTTGATTCTTCTAGTTAGCGTCGTCAAACTTTCGTTTTTGAGCTCGGTTTTGATGTTTCACCTCCCTGACATACAACTTTCATTGTTTGGAGCTCAAACCCCCTGCTTCTAAGCCTCCCGTAATCATATGTATAATTCTAGCTGGTGGTGGGAGTGGAGGTGGGGCTTGTTGATATCTCACGCCTTGCCTATTGCCTGCATTACGAGATCCCTATGGTTGTGGCCCTTGTTCTCTGACAAACTTTGGTTGCTCTGTTCTCTAGATGTATCCATTTAGCATGCCTTTTTGAGCTAGACTTTCCAACTCTGACCTTAGACTATTACATTGCTCCGTTGTATGACCGTAATCTTGATGGAAATCACAGTATCTAGTATGATCACGTGTAGCAGCAGAACTTCTCATCAGCCCTAGTTGCCTCAAATCCATCTTATTCTTGATCTGCATGAATATCTGCGACCTCGGCAGATTGAAAAGAGTCCATGTAACTGGTGCTTTATTGGTAATTTGTTAAGGGGTACCAAGTTCGGCTTTCCAAATCTCATTGTGGAGGTCAACATCGGACCACGGCTCTGTACTATCTTCATCCTCTTTCTGCTCTAACCCTCATCTCTCTAATCTGGGTTTGGATTTTTGGGAAGAACTGGTTTCTGTGATATTTCTCAACAGTTATGAATTTCAAAGATTTGTCATTAACTTCATTAAAAGTGGCAGCAGGATGAATCTTTCGTGTTAGAGATCTTAAATTACAGTTGCAATTCCTACGACTTGGTTGAATGAGCTGACTTCGAGAACTGCATCATTGAACCTGCTCATGTAATTCTTCAAAGATTCTCTGTCCCTCTATTTAACTCGCATCAGTTCAGAAGTGGTTTTCCTAATCAATCTTCTACTGGAAAACTTTGTAGCAAAAGCAGATGCCATTTCTGTATAAGTGTTGATAGATCTCAGAGGCAAACTATAGTACCAGGTTCGAGCATTACCACGAAGAGTGGAGGGAAAAATTTTGCACATCAAAGCATCAGAAGCATTCTGAGCTTGCATACAAGAGTAGAAGGCATGAAGGTGATCATCTGGATCCTTCGTTCCATCATATGTCTCGAGCTGAGGTATTTTGAAACCAATAGGATAAGGTTCCAATGTAATATTAGTGTTCAGAGGATGAGGTATGTAATTAGTGTTATGGTGTGGAGGTGGGGCACCTCGTTGCTCGGCTACCAGTTTTTCTAAGCTGTCCAAACGTCGTGTGACATCATCAAGTAGAGGTTGTTGAACTGGGGCTACATGAGACTGACCCTAAAACTCACTAAGAGCAAGAGCATGTTGAATTGGTTAAGGGTCTTGTTATTGAACAGGGGATTGTTGAGTAGGGTTGAGTAGATTCATGAGGGGATCACTAGGATTATTCCGAACTATGAGTTGAGCTAAAACTAACTGAAAAACACCAAATTGCTGTTGCATGGCAGCAAGCTGAGTTGTGACTACATCTCCTTGATTGGGAATGGAAGTTGAGTTATGGGCTAAGTTGTGAGGTTGGTTTTCATCTCCTCCTTCTACATGTTCAACAGAAGGGAATAGATTTGGGATCTAAGGTGGGAGGTGAGGTGGAAGGTTGTTGGGGAGTTGACCTTGACCTTGTCCAAGAGGTTGAGCCTGATTTCCAGCTCGGATAGATCTAGTGTTGACCATGGTGAGAAAGCAACAAAAGAGCTTTTAGTTCGGATTCCCACAGACAGCGCCAATGTAATTGCATTAAACCAAAAGTCCTTCTTTAGTCCATATCTTCACTTAGGATGAACTTGAAAAGCCCCGAGGTGGGTTCTCGAGGTAGACACTCCAATGCTTAACTCAACAATAATTGATCTGCCTTTTTAGAGTAATGAAAAAGGAGCTTTAGGTTGGTTTCAATTATCTTTCTGAGGTGACCCTTGGGGGTATTTATAGGCCTTAGTAAGGTGTCCACGTGGCTTACTTAACAAGATAATCGGAGTATGATGTGTCCGTTCAGGTGATAATTTCGAAATCGAGAAATTATGTAAATTAGGTGTGGGCATGTTCACTGTATTTATCATACAGCCATTTAACCAGGAAGTGCTAGATTTAACTTCATTTCTGTTATTAAGGAAATGTAGCAGTACATCCGAGGTTGATGACCTCGAACCTGTCCTTACAAGAACAAAACTTTATGAGAGTGAGCTACCTATTCTAAAACATATGTTAGAAGGAAACTAAGCAAGTTTTCATTACACTCAAACTTCTTTATTGGGGACAAATGTTATACCCTAAATTGAGTCCTATGAGAATTAGAACATGTGGAAGCATAGTTATCATTATCGTACCATACCAATTTTTATATTAAACCGAAACGGTATATGGTCTAATTTCGTTTCAGTCAAATTTCGTCTATAATGGTCAAATTTCGATGTACCAACCGGTACACAAAAATTAACCAGTACCACTCAATTCAAATTTAAAAAAGGGTAAATTTCATTTTTGGTCCTCAACTTTAATGTTCTACATAATTTTCATCATTTAACTTTTTTTTATGTAATTTTTTAGTCCATCAACTATGAAAAACATATTTTTTTTTAGTCCTTCTATCAATTACTCCATTAAGTTCGTCTAAATATACACATTTTTATTCCCTTAACTTAAAGTGGTTCGATGAAAATTATACATATATTAGAAGTTGAGGAACTAAAAATAGTCATTTTAAACTTGTTTTCAATTTATAGGAATATGATAGTTTTAAATATTAATATCTTTTATTTTATTTTAAAATTTAATATTTAATTTATAAAAATATATATGCAATAAATCCAAAATGGTGTATGAAAAATTCTAATATCCAGTATGTATCTTTCTAATAACAAAACTAGTACATAGATCGGTACGGTATTGACAACTTTGCATGAAAGCATCTTAGAAGAGCTCTATTAAAATTAAATAAACTAAATCCCACTAGAATTAAAATATCCAACACCAACCCAACCAGAATTGTAATTCTAAAATGGTTTCCCGTAATATCCTGCAAATACTCCAATACTAGACATGGTAAGGGAATTATTTTCTTCATTCTCTCTCTATTGTAAGCTCACTACATTTTTTACCAATAAAGTACTTGATTCCACACAATGGCCTCTATTTTTTAATGTAACAATACTCCAATCTAAATACCTTTAAAAATGGAACACTGATTTGCCCGGAGATTCAAGCGGGTTTCTTGTCTAATTGTCGGAATTGGTATCGACGATGTTCTAATACACCCTTCTATTGTTTTTATCTCTCGTTTTTTCATGCCAATACAAATTGATTGATTTTTCGATGTTTCAAAGCTCAAACAAGAAGCATGTCGTCGATTCATTGTTTTTCGCTCAGTTTGTCCCTGGTTTTCTGGTATCCTCTGCTTTCTCCGTCTTTTCCGCTTCCTGAGAATTGCTTCAGATCCGGAAGCATACGTTTTTGTCAGCATCATACAAAACTTCAAAACTTTCTTCCGAATTCGTCCAAAATTTTCATCCGCCAATTTTGCCAGTTCTATATGGACCGTTTTGTTTTCATCCCCCGGGTTTTGCTGTAAAAGCCCCCCTCACTGTTCTTCAATTCTTCACACAAGCAGTTCATTACTTTCCAAACAGCTTCTTCTCTTCTCTGTTTTTTCGCTTCCAGCGTCCCTCTGATATGGCTAGATTCTCTACCATTTTCACCGCCAGAAATCTTCTGGTTCTCTCTGTGGCTTTTAATGCCACATTGCTTTTACGGTTCTTTCATGAGAGCCGAATTGGGTCGCTCCACGGCCTCTACCCTGTCATTCTGAATGAGGGGCGTGAACACAGGCCTCCCCTCAGCCAGCGGTCCCGACTAACCACCGCTGAAACTTCCCTTTTGTCTTCCTCTGCTGCAACGGCGGAAGAGAACGAGGACAGGGTGATCAATCTTGACCAGTGAGTTTCAGCTTCTTTCTTGTTTGCTTGTTACTTCTTTTTCTTTTTGGGGAAATTGCAATTTAAAGTCACCTGCATTTGAAGTAAGTGCACATAAAAATTTAAGATTTAAAATGTACAAATAACATCTTTATAGTTTCAGGTACGTGTAGGTTAGTACAAATAACCATTTGAAATTTAATTTTTAAAGAACCCTTGACTAAAAGAATGAAAAGAAGAAATTTAAGGGTATTTAGGATAATTTTATATAATTTTAAGTGGTTATACACACTTAATACAAATTTTAAGTCTTTATTTGAAAATCTTAAAATCTGATTTTTTTTCACACACCCCAAGTATTTTATATGTACATTTTAAAATCTCAGGTTTTTCTATGTATTAACCCTAAACCACAAGTACTTAAAATGTCATTTCTCCTTTCTTCTGTTTTTTTTTTTATAAATATCTGATAAACCCCTGAATTTGGTGCTCAAGTTCACTAGTCTCCCCTTGGCTTCACTTAGAATGGGTGATTTTGCTGCATCCGGAAGGGTCAATACATCCCACAAACGCCCGGATGAGGAAAAGGATCTCCTCTTCGTAAAATTTCCTTTAATTTATTCTTTTGATTTCTCTGTAGTGCTGTTTAGTTTCTTTCCACAATCTAAAGTGTTCAGGCTGTATACCTTTTTTGATGGTTGCTTTGATAATTTTGCCAGCTAGACAAGGACAGCTCCTTGTGTTTGGTTAGTGAGATTTTTCATGGTGCATCTTGAGTGTGTTTGGGTGCCTTTTCTAGGTACTTGATGTCTGTTTTTTGTCATTTCTTTGTTCCCGAGTTAAAGAGTGCATGCACTATAGGGTCTGAGTTCAACAGGCAAATTGAGTGGTTTACATGGGCATTTGACTCAAACATCATCATTATTGTGCCTTAGCAAGTTGGATTCCTCCAAGGTGCATGTTATCTCAAGGCACTAAGCTTGAATTCAGATCCATGTTTGATTTTGTGGGGGGAGGGGGGTCCCAGTTTGAGCACAATGTATGAAGCCCACTTTTTTGGCCTTTTGGGAAGGTTTAAAAGACTAATTAAAGCTATGCTCTTAGGGTTTGCTTGATGAAATTTGAAGAACTTTTGGTCACCTTTACTGTGAATTAGGTTTTAATATCCATTTTTTTACTACATTCAAAGTGGGGTTATCTGGATCTAAGCACCTTAAGGTGTGTCCTGCTTAGATATGCACCAATTAGGAAGTCATCTCTATGTTCCTTCTATTTTTTTCCTAATACCAAAATAACTCATTAGGTGTCAATCTGATGTAAGCCCCCCACGCAAACCTTCACCCCCAAACTTGCCACTGCTGCCTTACCTAGCCCCATGCAAATTTGATTCCCTCTGAAGTGAAATCATTCCATCGTAATTTCTCATTTTACAGTTTCACTTTCCTGCCATATGTTTAATTTTAAGACTAATTCAGTTTGTAGGCATTAAGCTTTTTTAATCATTCTTGAGGATGAACTCTGAAGATTGTTTTTGGGTTGTAGTAAAGGATGCTTTGCCTTTTGAATTCTAATGTTGAATGCTTTAATGATTTCTTTTTTTGGTATGATATTTATACAAATATGATAACCCCTACTTTTGTTACCAAATGCAGTGGGGATCCAACAATGTATGAAACATATTGGCGAGGGATGGGAGACAGGACTACCATTGTAATTCCTGGCTGGCAGACCATGAGTTACTTCTCCGATACAAGAAATCTGTGCTGGTTCTTGGAGCCGGAGTTTGCCCAGCAAGTTGTCCGACTGCATAAAGTTGTGGGCAATGCAGTAACGGGGAACCATCACATTGTTGTCGGGACAGGCTCATCTCAGCTCATCCAGGCTGCCTTATATGCTCTGTCTCCCAAGGATGCCATGGATCCCATTCCCGTGGTTTCTACTGCCCCTTATTATTCTGTGAGTCTGTTTCCCTTCAAGTCTGCTTGGTGTTTCATTTATTTATTTATTTATTTTGTATAAATCACCTTTATGTTTGCTTAGTTATAAACTCTTTTGATCCATGGCAAGATAAAAAGGTACATACTTGCCGGTTTATTTTGGAAAGGGTTAAAGCCAACTTTCGTCCCTCTACTTTATGAAAAAATTCAATTTAACGCTTCTACTATGTAATCACCTCAAGTCGTCCCTCTACTTCATTTTGAGTTCACATGTCCTCCCTTTACTATTCAAAAGGTGATCAATTTCGTCTCTCCATCCATTTTGGCTAACACCGTCACTTTTACCGTTAAAGCCTAACGGTTAGGCGTTCAACATATATTTCTATATTATTCTTTCATTCAATTTCGCTATAATAGGACCCATCAATATCACATCATATTTCGTATTAATATCTTTCTATAGGAATATTTTACCAACTTTTTTTTTTCAGTTATTAGTCACGTTTATTTATCTTTTTTTTTATCAATTTTTTAGTTGAGTCAATTAAATTAATATTTTTCAAAACTATGTAGGTAATCAAATAAATTTAATTTTTTTAAAAATAAATAAATAAAAATTTTGAATTTTATTAAGGTTCAAAAAAATTATAACTAGAAATATAAAATTTCATAATACCTATTATCATTTATTTAATTATAAGTTTTTGGTGGTCTAAGGTGAACTCACAATTTGTGATTCCATTTATGTGTATAAATGACTTAAGCAAGTATATAGCTGAAGTATTTGTTTATATTTGTATTTAATTTAAAAATTAATAGATATAAAATTTTGATATTTAGTATTTATTTAAGTATTAAAAGTCTATTCTTATTATTTAACTTGTTGAGTACATGTGGTATACTTGCAAATATACTTATATGTTTGTTAAATATTATAATCTTTTAATATAAATTAAAATATAATTAAATCTATTGCAAAACATATACTTTAGTTCATACATAATATACATGTATAAGTTTCTTTTAATGCACTAGTTCAACATGAGAGGTATACCTTTAAAATAACCCTTAAAAAAATATACTTTTCTTTTTTAAACTATAAAAAAATTATTATTTTAAGATAAATTCAAAAAATATTTTTCTCCTAAAATAAATAAATAAAAGTTGACATATATAAAATAAAGCACTACATCCTTAATTAGTTCCTTTCCTACCTTTTGGGTTTGTATTCCAACTTAATTATGTACTTTATTATAAGTATAAAGTTATATATATATTTTTTTTGATATTTATAATTAAGATGTTTCCAAACTAGATTTCTTGCATCTCCAAACTAATCCTTATCTGTATTATTTTAAGGGTACATCTTTCACATCAAATTAATGTATTCAAAGAAACTTATGCTTATATATTATATATGAAGTAAAATATATGTTTTGCAATACGTTTAATTATATTTTAATTTGTATTAAAAGGTTATAATATTTAACAAATATATAAATACATCTGCAAATATACATATACTCAACAAGTTAAATAATAATAATAGACTTTTAATACCTGAATAGATATTGAATATTAAAGTTTTGTATTTATTAATTTTTAAAATAAATGCAAATATAGATAAATATTTCACTTATATACTCGTTTAACCTATATATGTACATGAATACAATTGTAAATTGTAAGCTCACTTTAGCCCACTCAAAGTTTATAATTAAAAGAAGTGTAAAAGGCATTAGGAATCTTTTTTTTTAAATTAAATTTACTTGATTACCTACTATAATTTTGAAAAATATCTCTTTAATTGAATCAACTAAAAAAATTAATAAAAAGAGATAAATAAACGTGAGTAATAATTGAAAAAATAAGTTGGTAAAATATTTATGTAGAATGATGTTAATATAGAGTATGATGTGGCATTAGTGGGTCCTATTATAGCCAAATTGGAGAAAAGTGACGGCGTTAGTCATGGAATAGAAGGAGGGACGAAATTGATCACTTTTTGAATGATGGAGGGAAGACATGTGAGCTCAAACTGAAATAGAGGGACGACCTGACGTAATTTCATAGTAGAAGCGTTAAATTGAACTTTTTTACAAAGTAAAGGGATGACAGTTGGCTTTAACCCATGTTGGAAACAAGCTCCATTGTCCATTGTTCTAGATAGCTCTTACTTCTATACTGGATTTGGATTTACCCCAACTTGGAGAACGAGTGGAGTTATTATTATATTTTAAATAGTTAATGTTATATTTTTTAAATGTAATTATCTATTGTATTTTTATATTATGTTTTTATTTTTTCAAAACTCTATATATTTTTGTTTTTAAATAAATTAAAAATATAATAATAAATTAAGATAAAAATATATGACATTAATAATTAAAAGTGTTACAATAACATCACCCCATTTGGATAAAAAACATATCAAAGTTTTATTTGTTAACTTGGTCTGCAAGATTGTAGCAAAAATTAACACTACCGTAATTGTTTTGTCTCCCTGTCTAAGATTTGTACTAATGTGAAATGAGAATTATATTCATCTTGCTTCTGACGGTTGCTTAGTTTTATATATATGTTTAATCTTGCTCTAATTCTTTGCAGTCCTATCCATTGATGACTGACATTCTCAAATCCAGGCTTCACAAGTGGGCCGGTGATGCTCGCAATTTCAAGAAATCCGGCCCTTACATAGAATTTGTTACCTCCCCAAATAATCCAGATGGATTTGTCAGGCACTCCGTTGTTAACCAGAGTGAGGGGAAGTTGGTGCATGATCTTGCTTACTATTGGCCACAATATACACCAATTACC